ACGAGTCGATTGCAGAGAAGCCGGCGCGACTTCAGGAAGTATCCCCTGGCAACAGAAAACCCGAAAGGCAAATGAAAGGAACGACTGCGCCGCCGTAAATGGCCAGCCCCCGCGAGGCAGGCCAGGCGCGAGCGGCGCCCCGCCCGGGGCCGCCGCGGGCCGCTTGCGAGGGCAGCCCCGCAGCAGCCCAGAGCTCGTCGCGGGCTGCGACGCCGCAAGCGGGGGCGTCATCGACAACAATGGACAGGATGCGCCATGCAATTGGGGCTGGATGTGGCCGAGGGTCGAGCGAGCTGGCGTCTCCCAAGGCGTCTCTTAATTCATCCTCGGGCTATCGTCAGAGCAATAACTCCTGCGCGTAGCCGACGCGCGACGGAAGGGCCCGAGGGGGCCGAAGAAAAACGAGGGGCGGCTCCCGGTACCACAGACCACGAGCGGAATGGCATGACCGAAAGAAAGAGGCCACGCAACAACGAGGGCCCGGAAGCAACTAGGTGATGCTGGGAAAACCTGAAGGGGATGTGAGTTGCCCCTGTCCTGGCTCATCGGAGGTCTTTATCTCGCCTCCCCTCTGGCATCAGCATGCGCTGTTCAAACCCAGGCGGCTGCGCGGCTCTTTCTCCCTTGGCGAGCCTGGGCAAGGAACGGCAAAACGCGCGTCAGAACTGCATGGGGCTTTCCGAACGCAAGCGGAACGGGCGCTTGAGTCTCGCAGTCAGACAGCGTCAAAACAGGAGCATAAAAAAATGCCCCGTAGAAGGAGCGGCAGAGAGATATCGTACTGGGCGCGCAGACAAAGAGAGAGAAGCTAGCCTAGCCCCCCCCCTCTCTTGGCGAGCCTGGGCAAGGTGCGACAAAAAACGAGCAGGGCAAAGCATTTTACAAGCTCGAGCGGCACGGGCGCTTGCTTCCATTGCGCCTCCATGCTTGTGAAATCCTCGCAGTCAGGCAGCCTCTGTAGGCTGGAAAGGCATCGACTGAAACAGAGACGACCCAGGGCCCGCAGCACAGAGAGAAGGTTGCCTCCTCGTCGCTCGGCGCGCCTGGGCATGGGCAAATACAAACACAGACATCGCAATGAGCGTCCTACAAGATAAAGATTCCCGCGGGTGTCGGCATCCAAGGGACTTCCCGCATCGCGGCATATGTGAGCCCACGAAATGTCCACCCCTCCACGCCAACCGCTTCACTCGTCATCAGGCTGCAACAGCGGCTGTAGCAACCATTCAATGTCGAAGAGGGCCTGGGCATTAAAACGTCGTGTGGTTTGGGGAAAGCATTCATGGCGCTGGCAAGATCAAGTGCGCAAACATCTCCGATCGGGCGCACGACGCGTGGGCCACGCCCGTCATGCGCGAGCCTCAGGGGGGGCATGTGCCAGTGGCCCGAGGGGGGCCAGTGCAATTCCAAGGGGGTCCTTGACATTGCTTCTAAGGTAACGACCACAGCGGCGACGGGAAATAATGCCCTGCACCCTTCGGAGACAGCCCCCCCATGTAGGCGGGGAACACTGGGGGCGCAAGAAGTGGCTCTTGGAAACCGGGATGGCCCAACAACTCACATGCAAACCGCTCTGCGGACGGGCCCCAGAGATGCTCGCGCAGAACTTCAGCAACATATCCCGACAACGCAGGGGGGGGGGGCTGGAGCCTGAATGTCATCAGAATCGGCAGCCCAATCTTCCTTGGAGACAGTCTCATGCGATGCAGCGCCCGATATAACAACCTAGATGTCTAACAGGTGTGTCAGACCATGTAATGCGATCCTGCTGCGCGCGCGTCGGGGACATGTAAATCCGCACCTAGCTTGGCCAATCGGTCTGCCTGCAGATTCCCAGCGTGGCGCGCCTCACTGCGGTCGCCCTTGCGTACTTGGGTGGTTCGCATTGAGTCATAGCCAATGTCCGTGGCTAGACGGTGGGCCTGGACACATAGAGGGCCATGCTTAGCCCATCCACGGGTGGAGGCTTCGTAGCCGAAGACCCAAACGTCAACGACATATTGGCAATCGGTGACAAACTCATGCTGGAAAGATGGGGCAGCATGGGCGAGGTAAAATGGGAGGGCGCCAAGCTCAGCCCCAGGAGCGTCCTGCGCGAAAGCAGGCAGGACGCCATATGCGGCAGCGCTTAACCAAGGACAGTCACGGGCGCCAGGCTCGCCAAAAAACGCCCCGGCGCCCGGGGGCAGAGGGGCAAACGCCCCAACCACGTCGGAGCGCGAGGGCGACGGCCCAGACATTGCCGAGCCGTCTCCGTGCGCTGGCGACGAGAAAAGAGGGCCCTCAGCGGCGCGCTCCCAGACAAGGTCGGGCAAGGGCGGTGCGACAGAAAAACTACAGCGCGGGCGTGCTGACGGGCGCAGTAGGGCTGCGCCGCGCTGCTGCCTGCCCCTCCTCCCGCGTCTCAGCGCGAGCGCGTGAGAGATGCTGCTCTGTCCGCCGCGCGTGGCGATGCGCTTCCCCTCCGCGGCGTTCATGGTCGCGCCCTCCGCGCCCCCCCCCTTAAATCGGCCGTGAAGGTAGAAGCCCGTGCCCGTGCAAGTGCGCGACGGAGTGGACGTTCCGGGGCCCCTCCCTCCTCGGGGCCCTGGTCGGAGGTCTTGCAAGGGGCATCCTTGAAGATCACGGGCGCTGGCTGACTTGGGCCACCCCGGCCCCGTGACGGGCCGCCGGCGACGCTGCGATCTGAGGGGGCCCAGCGGATGCAGGAAGAGCCCCCGGGGTCCAGGGCAGAGCGCAAATGCGACGCACGACGCCCAGCATGGCATGAATATGAGCCCTCATCCTCGAAGCCGCAGAGACGGACGCCATGGAGTCGCTCGAGACGAGCAACCTCTCACCGCGCGCCCGAGAAGCCCTCGGAGCACCGCGAGCACGGTAGAAGACAGCACGGGCCGCGAGGACAGGCGCGCCACGAGGCGACCCCGCTTGCGACGTCCAACAGCGATTTGCCAGCGAGGTCTTCCCGCATATTTCTTCATCGCCTCGGGGGGAGCAAGCTGGCCCTGCTCCGCGGGCGGGCCGACGGGCCGGCCGTCGCCGGACTGCGCCCGGCGCAAAGTCAGCGCCGCACAGCTCGAGGCCGCTGGCCGCGGCCCCCTCAGCGGCGCACTCAGCGGGATGAGCTCGGCGACGAGGAGGCGCGCGCTCAGCCCTGCCACGGCGCCACCGCTCGCAATGGCGACCGACCCCGCGAACCGCGGCCAACCCCCACTCGGCCTCGCAGGCGCCCAATCTCTGGGGGGGGGGATCTACGCAGCCGACGGGGGGGGGCCATTGGGCTCGGGGATCAAGCCGAAAAGGAGCGGCGTTCCCATCCCAGGCTATGAGCTCCTGCCTGACTTGGGCCCAGAGCGGCACCTCACGGTGGCAGAACTCTGCCGGGCGGAGCGGAAGCGCGACCCGAAGATGCCCAGCCCCTCGCGCCGCGCGAGCGCCGCGAAGATGACGCGGCCCAGCGCGCGCTCGACGCCCCGGCCGCCGGCGCGCCCGCAGCGGGGCCGCCCCCGCGCAGCGAGCCGCGCGCTCCGCAGTCGCGAAGCCGAGCACCGACAAGAGCCCAAACGAAGAGATGGACCAGCCCAGCACGGAATACTCGCCCTCGCTGTCACCGAGGTGCCCCTCATTGGTGACGACGAGCCCGCGTCGCCCCAGCTCCACCATCACGCCCGAGACGAGGTCGCGGACCACGAGCGCGTCGTACCCATGCTCGCGAAGTTGTCAGTGGCAGGCGGGCCCGAGCGGCGGTGCCGGGCGGTCATCTCGGAGACGGGTCTCACCTCCGCAGCCAGCGGCCTCGGCCGCGCGCTCCATGGCGGATCGACGCGACCACGTGGCCCAGGACCAGCCATGGGCGCCGCCAACCTCAGGCGCGGGTGGAGCCTCGTGGAAGCACTAAGGCTGACGGCGCCATGGCGAGCGACGCCTACACCGCCTGCTCGAATTGGCTGGAGAGTGATGTGCGAGCGCAGCTGCTCGGACAGCCCCAAGTGGTAGAAGGCGCCCTTTAGGCCGGCGCCCTCGACAGCGGAAAAGGCATCGTCATCGGCCATCTCGAGGGCGTTGCAGGCGTCGCCAGTGGCCTGTCGAGCCCCCAGGGGCTCGATGAACACCTCGTTTGACCGACGGTTGCCCGCGACCATTCGGAGGCGCCCGCCCTTCTTCTCGACGACGAAGATCTCGGCCTTCACGCCGTCCTCCAAATGGAAGTCGACGAGGCACCGCCCACGCCGCAGCCGCGCAAAACTGGACCAGTGCCGCTGATCACGGAGAAGAAGATCGGAATGATGGAGAAGCGCAGAGCTGTGCCGAAAACGAGCTGTGACCGCGCCCGGATCGAGCGCGCTCTGCTGAGCGAACTGCTCGACCTCGGCTCGCTGGCGCCCCCCCCCCCCCCCACGCGCGCGCGCGCCCCGCCCGCGCCCCCGCCGGGAGCGCGGGGGCCGAGCTGGCGTCGGGCATGGAGAGGAGCGCGGGGTCGCGGCTCCTGAGGGGCGACTTCTCGGCAGCGCAAGCGCCCCTGGCCACGCCACGCCGCGCTAGCGCTTCCGCGGGGGAAAAAGACGAAGGCGGAGTGCCAATATACCGCGCGGACTCGTCGACGCGGGCGCGGAGCTGGCCCCGAGCATGCGACGAGCCCGCGCGGCGTGCAAGACGGCCGCGACCGCGTGCCAGCGAGGGGTCGCGGAACCAATCGAGTGCGCCCACGCACTGGAGCACGCCGCTGTAGACGCCGCGCCCCCGACCAATCCTTCGCCTCGCCCCTCCGGCGATCAAAGCCGCAGCAGCCTTATCCAGAGGCCCCTTGGCGCAGGGGCGCGGCAAGGGGAAGATGTCCCGAGGCCGACGCCTGCCGACGTCGTGGAAGTCTCGAGCGCGGGGGGGCTCGTGCTGGAAGACCGAGCGGAGGGGGCGAAGCACTCGCGTGGGCACCCCCTCCCATGCCGACGCGGCCTCGCAGCTCAGCCATTCTCGCGCCTGGACTCCCGCCCCTCGCGGGCCTGGCCCAGACTCTCGTGCAGCTTGGCTTCCCTCTCGATATCGCTGCGCGCGTGCTCGATAAGACCCGGCGACGCCATTGTGGAGCAGGTGGAGCGCGAGACGCCCGAGGAAACCGCCTGCCCCTCCTGACTTATCTTGCCTCCGGCACCCGCGCTGTCGGCGTCCTTGGCCTTGTCCCAGCGCGCAGACTCGATGGACTGGAGCCTCCTGAACTTCATCTCGATGCTGATCAAAGTCGGCGCGCCCAGAAAGTCCTGGCAGGTGGCCGCCATGATCCGCTGACGCTGCGGGCAGTGCTCCTGCACCCCCCAGTCGGTGTCTCCGAAGTGGGATATCTGACAGAAGTGCTCGTGATGACCCTCGACCCCAAGGCCCTCCCTGTAGAGGTAAAGCACGCGCCAGGCCGCCGTCCTCGGGCCCAGGAGAGTCCAGTCGGAGCCGAAGTCCTCCTGGCGGGTCATCTCGATCATCTTGTGCCAGGGCACGCCCCTGCGGCCCTGCGCGTCACGGACAATGGAGAGGATCCTCGCGTCGGTGTCGACCGCCTTCCTGAGGAAGCCCTCCAACCTAGCAGGCGGCACCAGCTCCACGAAGAGGCCCTGCTCGTCGGGCAGCGCGTGGATGTCGCGGCTCTGGACTAGCGCCGCAGTGGGAACGAGCCCTGGCACCTCGTCGCCTACACGATAGCCGCCCTCGCAGGCGTCCGCACGCCACACCCCCGCAAGGTCGCCCTGGCCAGCGGCCGCCCCCGCCGGCGCCGTCCTGCGCAGCTAGCCCAAGACAGGGCCAGCAGGCGCGACAGGCACCACGGCAACGCCACCTCCCAGCGACGCCAGCGGACGGAGGTTCGCCAGCAGCCCCAAGTTGCCGACCGCCCGGGCCCGCCGGCGGCACTCGGCCATCGCGAGCTGCTCCGCCTCCACCGACCCTGCTCGGCGTCGGTCGGCTTTGCACGGAAACGATAACGCCTGTTTGGTCGCGATGCCAGGGGGGGGCGCAGCGAAGGCCCCGAACCGCGCCGCCTGTACACCTGGGTTGTTCGCGAGAGCGACGATGTACAACTCGCCATCCGCTGTGTAGATGACGTGTTAAGCTTCCGACAACGCCACCCGCCCCAGATTCAAGTGCTGCTGCCACACCACTTCGCCGGCGTAGTAGACGTATGCCCATCGGGTCGTCGTGAGAGCCGCCATTGTCCAGGCCCGCGAAGCCGCGACTGCGAGGACGAGTGCTGCAACGCACCACCGCGCAACACCCCAGGCAGGCCGCTGCGGCCGCGAAACCGATCGCGCCGCCCAGCAACCCCGAGGCCAGCGCGCGGACGTCGAGCGCGACGTCGGGCACCCAGCCTCCAGCCACCGCCGGGGCCGCTGCCTCAGGCACGGCCGCACCTGGCGCAGGCTCTGGAGCTGCGCGCGCGGCGCACGCCGGGCACGCGGGCGCCGGGCAAGGGGCCGCCGTTGGGCAGGCCACGGGCGGCGTTTCTGCACACGGCGGGATCGCTGGGCACTGCAGCGAGCACCCAGGGCAAGGCGCCGGCGAGCCGCACGCCAGGGAGCACGTGGGGCACGGAGGGCAAGACGGCACCCGCGGGCACCTCGCGAGATCTGATACCACCCCAGTCAGAGCCTGGTTAAGGAGCCTCTCCCACATGACTCAAGATTTGAGCGACATCAAACGGTGGTGGCCCACAAGATAGCACCGGAAAACCCGTGAAATCACGACAATCGTTGGTATTCGGTCTCGACGGTTTTGGCAAGCGCATTCCAGACCTCACCGCTTCTTGGGGAATCACGTGTTCGACTGTGGGTAATCTCTGCGTTCGCTCAATTCTGCGACCAATTCGTTGCGGAAGGCCGTTGGCAACCTCCAGAACCAAACATCGTGGCCAAGGCGTTGCGTGGAATGTAGCTGCTCCACGCGGCACCCCACAATCAACATCGCGGATGCTGTACAGGCGTTCGAGGCCCTCCATCCAGAGGAGGTCGAGACAGCGAATGCGTCTTTGTGGTCTCATGCTGGGTCTGCGGCTCCATCGGGTGGCATTTTCCACAACGAATGATGGTGCTTGTGGGTTCTTACCTACTCGCCGTCGCCGCCCCGTCGCCACCTCGTCGCCGCCCGTCGTCTGGGCCGCGTCGTCGGTCTAGCGGCTATGTGCCAGTCGTCGCCGCCCTGTTGCTGCCTCGTCGCCGCCCGTCGTCTGGGCCGCGTCGTCGGTCTGGTGGCCAAGTGCTTGCCGTTTCCGCCCCGTCGCCGCCTCGTCGCCGCACGTCGTCTGTGCCTTGCATTGCAATCCAATCGGTTGCAATCCAATCGGCTGCAGGGCGATCGATGCACAACAGAGATTGCAAAAACTAGATTGTACAACCTGGACTGCGCCACATATATTGCACAACATCGACTGTAAGGAACACACTGTTTCGGGCCCACGCTGGTTGACGTGTATGGTTCAAAATCGCACAAACATTATCCACTGTGGTTCTGCGTTCAAACATCGCGACCAGTACGTGGTGGCCATGGGCAACTTGCGAACGATTGTTGATTCGTGTGTGACGTTAAAGGTGTATCGCCTAGGACGTCCGCGAGTTCCCCAAAAAGCGGAACGCCTATCGGAGGACCGATGAATTCAGCGAGATTGGAAGCAGTCTGCATGCACAGGGAATAGTTGCATGAGGTACGCGATACCGAGAGACAGACTAAAGCGCCATCGGGCAAGTACGAGGATGAGAATTTCAACGTGTCCGTTGTGAAATGCTGAAAACAGCATGAGAATGGATGCCGTCTACGACCCTGCGTTGACTTCCGATCCACATCAAGACCAGCACGCGACCAGAGAGTGCGTCACTCAATCGTAGTTGGATTTCGCTCTGCACCTCCGACGGGACGGCCTTGTTGTATCAACGGTGCACAGAACTTCATATTTACGTTCAACGACACGCCCACGCACAAGAAAAAAAATACCATGGCTCCCTTCACGGGCGTCTTCGGGCCATCGGAGAAGGCCGCTCTCCGCGGCGAGTTATTGGGCCGTCTCCGCCCGTGGTACTCTGGAACAGTGTGTCCCTTCAACTTTGTATTGCTTGTTATTGCTGTAGAATTGTGGCACTTCCGCCACGGCTGCGCACTACGGCACATCTGTGCGATTTGGCTGTAGAACGAAATGAAAATGGATGACAGGAGTGTGTGGAGGGACCGGGACGCAGTCTTCAACTTTGCGGCTGAACACATGCGCTGAGTTGCAGATCAGATCTGTGAGATGGAGCTTACGCGCCATACAACCCGCATGTGCGCGGCAGCAGCCATGGCAGGAGGTGCGTCACAGATGGGATTCGCGGTAGGTTGTCCGTTCCTGATGGGAGGGCTACCTCGACCCACCCTTGGCCCGCATGGGCCCCATGTCTAAATCGTTTGCTGGGCGCCCACCAGTGCAGCCACGAGCTGCCCGCGCGTTCGCGATCCTAGCCTTGCGTTCTCTGGCCTGGCCCAGGCGAAAACATGATCTCACTATTGCGTCCCGTCCACTTTGCGGGATTTGATTCTGAGAGTCTGTCATCGTGTGTCACTATGTCGCGAGGGTGCGGTGAGGTCTCGCCATCCCCATTCGATATCCAAGCCACGTACCCGACAGTGAGCGGCCGAGTCACCAGCAATAGGCAGTATTCAAAACCCATGGTACTCGACCTGCGCAAGTGAGAAAAAGGAAATGCCAGTCCGCACCGATACACTACTATATTTCGACGTTGACGTTGACCATGATCTGTTGCTTGAAAATTGCCCTCATTCTTGTCGGCTTGATCATTCACTCTTCGGAGTGTGTGTGTGTGTGTGAGTGTGTGTTTGTGTGTCTGTGTGGGGGGTGCCCATGTGGCGCGTGAGGGGCTGCGCCATGGGTTGCAGCATCTATAGATCACGCCGCGAGTTCCAGGACTGCGCGATCCAGAACAATGGGTTGGGCCATCCACGGGTTCCACCATGCGTCACACCGTCCATGGGGTGCGCCATGCTCCGTCCATGGATTGCGCCTCCAGTGGTTGCGCCATCAGTTGCGCACCCGGCGCCCGACAATAAACGGCCCTGCTCTCGTGGATGCGCCACTGGTTACGCACTCGGCGGTCAATTCTAAACCGTCGTTGCGCCATCGGTCGCGCACTCGGCGGCCGAGAGTAAAAATGCCTACTAATGGTTGTTGCACCACAAATTGCGCACCTTGCGGCCGAAATTGTGCCGACCCTTTCGGCGTGTGTGAAGGGCTTTTCCATTCAAGTAGTCTTCGTCGTCGTCAGCGCGGACGTCGCCGCCGCCAGGCGCGCGAGGTAATCGAGCCAAAGGGAAGCCCACTCCATTGGACCTTTTTCCTGCCCAGGGGGGGTCTTAGGGGGGGGGGTCCCAGAGGGGGTTCTTGGGTCCCTTGGGTCCCTAGAGGAGGCCCCGGGGTCCTGGAAGGGGTTCATGGGAAGGTCCTGGAGGGGGTTCTGCGGGGGTCCTGTCAGGGGTTCTGGAAGAGGTCCTCGGGTCCCGGGGGGGGGTCCCGGAAGGGGTTCTGGGGGGAGGGGCCCCCTCCCTGGGTAGGAAGCTCTGCCGTCGACCTGATACCCTCAAGACCGCCCCAAAGCCCCAAGAGGGCTCCAAGAGGAGCCCCAAGAGGGCCCCCACAGGCGAAAATCAACGATGTTCATGTGGCGTTTCTATGTTTTTTGTGTCATTGCCTTTTCGACTTCCGACGCTCCAAGACGGCCCAGGAATCCATCAATATCGCCTCAAGACGACACCAGAGGCTGCTGAAAGAGCCCGAAAACGGCGCAAAACGGCTCCAATACTGCCCCAGAGGGCACCAAGACCGCCCAATAGGCCCCAAGACGGCCGGATAGGGCTCCAAAAAGGACCCCATAAAGCTCCCGAGAGGGTGGACGCCAACAGACATTCCGAGCCTTCCGCCCCAAGAGGCCTCCAGGCCCAGGAAGCTCCAAGAGGCGCCCGAGAAGCCCCTAAGAGGATCCCAAAAGGCCCAAGAGAGCCCCAAGAGCACTCCCAAGACACCCCCAAGAGGATAACATCAATCAAGTGTCTCGAGTTGTTGGATGTAATACGTCGTCGCCGTCGTCGTCCCCCTTCAGGGTCGGCGGCACTGGCCGTGAGACCATCGCAATAAAACGGCATGCTACTGGTTGCATCATAGGCTGTGCACTCGGCGGCCGAGACGAACCTGGCCTGTACTTGGTGCGCTAGAAACGGCGGTGGACAAACCTCCATTTGTAAACCACTCTTTAGTGAAAACGGCCTGGGACCGACACCGACGGACCTGGACCCGCAAAAATGACGGCCGCGACGCCCTCTCGCGAACCGAAAACTGCCAATTCGCTAATCGACGTGTAAGGGAAGGAGGTCTGTCCACCCCCGAACTTGGTGCGCCAGAAAGGTTTCACTCTCGGAGGTCGGCACGCTGCATGGTGGGCACTCCGTGGCTGGGAGTAAACCAGTCTGCCATGGGTTGCACCACTGGCTGCGGGCGTGGCGGTCATAAAATCAAGCTGCCACCGGACGGGTGCGACCAGGCATGGCGTCAGTCAGTCAGTCAATCAGTCAGTCAGTCAGTCGGGCACGCCTGGCAAAGATTTATGCCAGCTGCCTTCCAACACACACTGGGAGCTCGGTAACCTCTTCCCTCCTCCGTCTCTTCCGTCCTCCCCCATCTCTCATCACCTCCCCTGCTCGTCGCCAGGTGAAGTTTGACCGCCCTTGCACGGAGAAGTAGCCCCATTGACACCGCAGAGTGGTAGACATTAGAACTTCTCAAGGCACCGAATCACAGCGGAAAGCTCGAAAACCCCAAACTCCAAATCCGCCACCGTGCCTCTGGGCACGAAGTGGACGTGTCCTCAGGTCCTTTGCCTCATCCCTCACGCCCCAGCCCTCACTCCTGAGGAACCTCTCGAGGGCCGGGACCCCAAATTCTCAAATTTGGTGTGGCTTTCCGGCGTGTACCCCCTTGGCTCCCCCGCGTTCTTCCCGCACGACTTTTTGGGGCCCAAGTGGATCCCAAGACGGGCCAAGAGGACTCCAAGAGGCCCCCAAGACGGCTTGAGAGGGCCCCGACTCGACGAAAGATCTCCCCAAGACGCCCAAGATGGCCCAATAGGCCTCCAAGATGCGCCAAGAGGGCTCAAAGAGGTCTCCCAAGAAGGTCCCAAGAGGCCCGAAACATTGATTTCCTTTAGGGTTTTGATGATTTGGGGCGTTCTCGCGTGTTCGGCTTCCCGACGCTCCAGGACGACCCAAGAGGTCTCCAAAACCGCCCCCAGATGGTCCAAGAGGCCCCCAAGAGGGCCCCAAGACGGCCGAAGAAGCACCCAAGACGGCCCAAGACGGACCGAAGGGGGGCCCGAGAATGGGAACACGAACCGGAACATTAAGCTTTCCGCCCCTAGAGGCCCCCAGGAGGCCCCAAGAGGCGCCCAAGAGGCCCCGGGAGGCCGCCAACAAAAGAGACCTCAAGAGGCCCCAAAACGGCATCCCAGAGGCCCCCAAGTGGCGGCCAAGAAGCTCCCAAGAGGCCTCAAAACTGCTCACAAGAGGCCGGCCCCCGAGAGCGCTCCGAAGAGACCCGAAGAAGCATCCCTGAGAACTCCGACCCACAACCCAGGCACGATGGCAGGATGGGCCGAAGGCCATTCGATAACGAACCACTGAGACCCTCCCTCCCCTCCCCCCCCCACCTCATCCCCTTGCGCAGAAAGGGATACGGGCCGGAATCGGCGACATATCGCCGACAGCTCAGCTATAGGCCCACGGTAGCGAGGCCGTAAGTTCCCAGACGTGGTGGGGGGTCCAGGCCCCGTTCTGCGATGAACGGAGCGATTGGGGCTCACTGCTCCCCCCCCCGAGCCAGTGCCCCCCGCTGATCCGCGTCGTCCGACTTTCGGGTCATGGCTCGGGCCGCTGGCGGCCGCTCGGGACGAGCGGGGCACCCCTGGACGCCCCTCGGCGAGAGGTACGGTCGGGCTGCCGAGGTCAGGAACGAAGGATTGCAACGAAGGATTGCAAAAAAACCTAGCATTGCAAAAAACCCTAGGTTTTTTGCGAAGGTTTTTTTTGCAATCCTATGTTTTTTTTGCAATCCTGTTTTTTTTGCAATCCTGTTTTTTTGTTTGCAATCCTTTGAAGAAGGGGTGAACCCCTGTCTTGGCACCAAGAGCGCCTTTCGTGCACGAGGTGGGCTGGAGGAACCAGCACGTCATGACCTCGGGAACAGCGGGCCCCTCCCGAACCCAGCGCGGTCCTCCTCTCGGCGTCTTGGCTGCAGCTGCTGCAAGCACCCCACTGCTGAAACTTGGTGGAATCACCGTGCGGAAAAAAAACACAAACACACCGTGCGTGTTTGTGTGTGTGTGTGTGTTTTTGTGTTTGTTGTTTTTTTCTTGTTTTTTGTATGTGTGTGTATGTGTTGTCCCCCCACAGCGTATGTTTTTTGTTGTTGTTTTTTTGTTTGTTTTTTTTGTTTCCCCCCCCCGTGCCACCCCCTCTGCCGTTGCCCCATCAGGATCCATGAAATCTGGGGAAATATCATCCGGGGAAATATCATGGCCCTCGCCATCAAATCTGGGAAAATATCATGGCCCCCGCCATGATATCCCCCCCCCCTAGTCATCACCCCCCTCTTTGCCGCCCCCGACGACTGCCCGCACGCCCGCCCGAGGGCGCCGGGCGGCTGCTGCAAGGGCGGCTCGGCGGGCGCGCCACGCTGAAGCACACCCAGCCGCCGCCGTAGGCCACCGGCGGTATGAAGGCGAACAGCAGCTTCCTTGCGGGCAAGATCTACATTGGAGGCCTGGAGATGGGCACCAACACCAGCACAGGGGGTTGCCTCCACAAGGGGGAAGGTGGTCCCAGATTTCGGTGCTGGTGGCAATGTTTCGGCCACCCTGGAGGCCAGAGTAGTACCACCATCACCGAGATCGGGATCTTCTTCCCTGGGGGGAGGCACACCGCCGAAATTGGTGTTGGTGTCAACCTCTAGGCCTGCGACTGTATCCACATCCGCTGCGTTCTGGCCCTGCTGGGAAGGGGCGCCAAGAGGCCGGTCTCGCAGTGGACACGCAGACAAATCCAGCCTCTGTGGGGCCACTTGTTTACCAATGTCCACCGCGCCTCTGGTCTGGGGCACGGAGCCCGAAAGTCCAATACGCAGTGGATATGGGTACAACTCTTGCCCAGGTGCGAACGACCGAACCACGACGAACATCAAGGGCCCCGAGCTCCAGGACACGGCTGTGCAAGACAGCCCCCCCTCTCCCCTCCTCCTCCTCCTCCTCCTCCTCCTCTTCCTCCTCCTCCTCCTCCTCCTCCTCCTCCTCCTCTTCCTCCTCCTCCTCCTCCTCCTCCTCCTCCTCCTCCTCCTCCTAATGCACTCCTGCCCAGGTGGCCGAGCACGGCCGGGCAGTTCTCGTGTGAGAGATAATGGTCAGCGCGCACGGCGCGGAGAAGCCCGGGCACCAGGAAGGACGGACCGACGCGCACATCCGGAGCGGATAAGAGACAGCCACAACCGCTGGGCTGGGGGAGCCGCCTGGGGCGATCTCCCCAGCCCACCGGGTTGTGGTTGCTTCTTCTTCTTCGACAGTGAGCACATGGCCAGGTGCACTTGTGGGACAACCGGAGGCCACGCGCGTGGATGCGCACGCGGAAGCCAAAGCGTGCCCGGCCATGGGATGCCCGAGCGCTTGACAGGCACCCGGCCACCCGTGTATCCAGCTCTCGCCCAGGCCAGCCAAGTCATGCGTGCATCCAGCATCCTGGCAGAAGGATGGGGGAGCAGGAAGGAAAGAAGAACGAGGCGGAAGAGGATATTTAGAAGGAAGGATGGCGGGTCATCAATCCTCCAGCATCCCCCTCCCTCCTTCGCATCGCCCCCCCCCCTCTGATCCTCATCCTTCCACTCCTTCCCCCCCTCTGCCCACGATTTGATCATCCCTCGTCTCCTCCTTCCCCATCCGCTGCCCCCCCAGCCTCTCCTCCCACACTCGGCCTTACTCTGCCACCCTCCCCCTCACGCAGCTTCACACTCGTTCCCCCCCATCAACATCCGTCGCCCCGAACTTCCTCTTCCCTCTCCTACTCCTCCGCCTCCTTCATATCCATCCCCCCAATCTCCTCCACTCGATTTCGCTCCTCCCCGATCCCATCCTCCCCCTTATGTCTCCTCCCCAGCTCGGAGGCCACCAAAAGATGAAGCAGGATTGGCAGAGAGGCTGCTCGACTGGAGAAGCTATAACCTTCCAGGATCGCCAGAAACAGGGGGAAAGAGAGAGAGAGAGAGGGAGTGAGAGAGCGAGAGATACACCGGGAGAGAGCGGGAGTGATATATATATATAGAGAGAGAGAGAGAGAGAGAAAGAGAGAGAGAGAGAAACAACAAAAAAGACAACAACAAAAGTGAGAACGAGCGAGAAAGAGAGAGAGAGACAGAGCGAGAAAGAGAGAGAGAGAGAGAGATAAAGCGGGGAGAAGAGCCCATCCCTCCACCATTCCTCCCTCTACTCTCTCCTCTTCCCACGCCTCCCTCGACATCCGTTCCTCCCTCTCCTCCTCCTCCTCCTCCTCCTCCTCCTCCTCCTCCTCCTCCTCCTCCTCCTCCTCCTCCTCCTCCTCCTCCTCCTCATCGCTCTTCTCCTCCGCATCCTCCGTCTCCTCCTCTCCCCTCATTTTCCTGTCGCGCTCCCTCCTCCGCCTCCTCCTCCTCCTCCTCCTCCTCCTGCTCCTCTTCATCTGCCTCCTCCTGCTCCTCCTCCTCCTCCTCCGCCTCCTCCTACTCTCCCTCCTCACCATCACTCTGCACCTCCCCCGATGACTCCGTAGAGGGGGTTGATGTGGCGGGGCGGTTCCAGGGGAGGGCGACGAAGTGCATGCACCACTCCGCGGCGGTGACCTCGATCCACGAGGAGAGGGGGGGGGAAGAGGCAGAGAGAAGGGGGGATCAGAAGGAGAGACGAGACGCGCGCGAAGAGGATGAGACTGAGCGAGGCGGAGCCAGAGTGTTGAGGAGGTAGGAGGTAGGAGTGGCGGAGCGAGGAGGAGGAGGAACAACAATACAGCCATGTTCTACCTTCGCTCCGTGGGGAATTCAACAAAGAATATTGGAAACAAGAGAATGACAAGCATCCGTCATCCAAAACTCAATCGAAATTGTTGCCCTTGACGACTCGGCAAAACCGTGCCCTATCGCAGAAAACAGAGGGGATCAGGGAGAGGAGGATGAGGCACAGGACGGCCATGAGGAAGAGTGAGAAAAAGGGCAGAAACAGAAGGAGGCGGAGGATGAGCAGGGACAAGAGATGGAGATTGGGCGATGCGCTGCGCGTCGACTCCACCTTCTCTCAACACATTTACCTCCCGCACCAGCTTCGCGTCGCCTGGCGCTCGACTCGCGCGCTCAGAGGCACTGCAGGCCCGCACGTGTGGTCGGCAGCAGCAGCAGCAGCAGGAGCAACAGGAAGAAGGTCGGAGCAGGGCGAGTAGAGACGACGGCAACTCGAATGTCTGTCCCTGGCTGGGTAGTCGAAGCCAATCTGGCGCCAATCTGGCAGGCCCAATCTGGCAAACGGGGGCAATCTGGCGAGGGAGCCAGCGCGAATCCAGCCTGGCGAATAACCCAGATCCTCCAATATGGCCAAGCCAGATTGGCCCCTGGGGCCCAATCCAGTCAGACAGTCTGGCCTTCGACTACCCAGCCTGGACCCCTCCCGAGATCCCGACGCGCCAACTTTCCCAGCCGCGTCCAGCCGTGGCGACGAAGGGCTTCCCCTGAAGGCCAATTCGCTGCCTCAGCTCGCCCCCCTCCGAGACGGGCAGAGCGACTTGGGGGGGTCCCAAAACCGTGTGGTGACATTCCACAGGGTCTCCTCCTCCTCCTCCTCCTCCTCCTCCTCCTCCTCCTCCTCCTCCTCCTCCTCCTCCTCCTCCCAAGAGACCTGACTACCTACCCGACCACCCCAACCCAACCCGGAGACCCGAATTCCGGCATGTGTCTTCTCAATGTTCCCCGACGCCCCCCCATGTCGTGATTTTTTCCGTGCGGCCCCCCTCGGAAGTCTCGACCCGTTCCCCGGGACCGGTTGTCCATCCCGAGTCGTTTTGTGACGGTCTCGGGGCCCCGCGAGGGCCTCTGGAGGCCGAAATCGGCGAAAGACCTCCGTCTTAACTTTGCGATACGTTGGATCTCTGGGGAGGGCAGATTGAAGCCTTCGGGTCGGGTTTGGGGTGGCTTGGTGGGCGGCGAAGACCTCACCGCACGGCCCGCCACCGCATGGCCTCGGGACTCTGGAGGACCCGGTCGCCCGAGACGTCCTCGGCGACGGCCCTTCGCCCCAAAACCGAGCGGTGACCCCGAGTCCCCACGGACTTCCGAGGCCTGGAAATGGCGAAAAATTAGAAATACTCAAGCAAGGCCCCGAAAATAGCCAAACCATACTCAAGAAATCGACCCCAATTTTTTTTTTCACTATTTTGGGGAATTCCTCCCTGTAGAGGTTGGAGGCCTGGAAATTGGCACCAACACCAGCACAGGGGGTTGCCTCCACAAGGGGGAAGGTGATCCCAGAGTTCGGTGTTGGTGGCAAGATTTCGGCCACCCTGAAAGTCAGAGTATTACCACCATCCCCGAGATCGGGATCTTCTTCCCTCGGTGGAGGCACACCGCCAATCTTGGTGTTGGTGTCAACCTCTATAGGCACTGCGAGGTTGGGCCCCCCCTTCCGAGGAGGGCAGAGCGACGCCGGCCCTGAGATCCGCCGTCGCGAAAGCGTCGTGACAGAAACTCGGCTGGAGCCCTGCGGCATTTTTCGAGCCGGGTCGATCCGATCCGTCGGGGTCCCCGGGGCCCGGAACAGGGCAAAGCCGTACGCTGTGAGAAGAAAACGACGCCAACATCTAAAAAAGCGCGGTGCCAACGGTGGCGGCGGGCAGCTGGAAGCCTCGTCGTGCTCGTCGTCCAGGACAGGCCGATCGGGTCGCGACTGATCGCGACCGATTCCAAAATCGGTCGCGACCAGTCGCGGCCGATCGGTCGCAAGCGATTTTGACGCAAGTCGGTCGCGACCGACCGGTTCCTGTTTTCGAAGTAAGATTGGTAACGGCAGATCTCGTCGGTCGGAACCAGAAAATCTGGGCACCCGACGAGGAACTCGGAGACTCGCCCTGCTGAGGAGGAGATGGGGCTGACCGATCGGCCTCCACGCGTACTTGACTCCGTCTGCATGCCCTCTGTGTGCATCTGGTTTGTCGAGCTGGTAAGATGCCAGTGAGATCGATCTGAACATGAGGAGGAGGAGGAGGAGGAGGAGGAGGAGGAGGAGGAGGAGGAGGAGAGGCGACGAGGAGGAGGAGGAGCGAGGAGCGAAGATCTCAACGAACGCGGCGCCAACTGGAGAAACCAAGAGTAGCGATACCGCTACTCCCCGGACCTCTCCCAGGGCGCGTTCTGACCAGGATTTCGGGCGAGTCCAGGGGTGGCAACAACGAGAACCTCCCGAGGCCCGAAGAGGCAAAAACGAGGGACGGGCAGCGGCAGCGGTATGGTTGCATGTTCCTCCTCCGACTGCCGGAATCGGGGATCCTCTGACCGGGGTGCATCCAGACCCGGGTCAGTCGGGCCTTGCAACATCCTGCAAGATCCTGCACCCAAGCCCGGGTCCATGCGAAGGACCCTGCAGGATCCTGCAAAATCCGGCGCTCTGGCTGACCCCCGCTTGCACCGACCCCCGTCTCTTGAGCCCCGGCGGAAGCCTCGTCGTGCTCTTCGTCCGAGATGGGCCAGATGGCGCTGCGGAACTGGTCCGCCCAGTTGGCCGAGCCCTGAGGGCGCGCGGCGTCGAGCGGGGGGCCGGGGAGGGGCTCTCCGGGGGGGGGGGGGGGGCGGGCGGCCTCCCGAGGGGGGGAGCAGCGTTGCGGGGGGGGCCAGCTCCGAGAGGAGGAGAAGGAGGGGACTCCGTGGACCGCTGCCAGTCGAGCTTCCGGAGAGAGTGTCAAGCAGGGACAGCAACTACGACTTATACATCGAGGAAGGTAGCCATCGACAGCACTCCCCCAATCGAGGCACTTCTTCTCGGGAGGGTTTGCCCTGCCTCAACCTTCCCAGCACTTCGAAATTATACGCCGTGAGGGCCGCCGGCCCATTCAGAGCGACTTGGCACTACATGCGCAAATCGCACGGCTTCGCTTCCGCACAGCATCCACATAGGCCACAAAAGGGTGAAGCGGTCCTGGTGCCAGGCGGCGTGGCTGTCATGCACTCTGTGTCCGTGCACGAAGGCTGGAGGAGGTAAACGTCGTGGGGGGTCGGCCTATCCAAACCTGAACCAAAAATCATCGCCGATTGGTGATTAATTGACCGCGAACCCACCGCACGTCGCCCTCTCCGCCGCCTTTGGCGCTCAGGCGTGGCAGGGGCAGATTCTAATCGGGCCACGCGCTGCGATTTAACCGTACGGTGTAAAAAAAGACAACGAGCAGCGTGAGCCAGCTTTTTGCAAGCTGCAGAGAAACCTGGAACAAATCGTGACAGCTCCACCGTGAGTCGAGGGACGACAAAAGTCGTTTCAGCCCTTAACAGCAGCTCACACATCGAGCTTAAATCGGCGATGCGCCGCCGATAGATTTGCGATGCAACCATCGTGCTACCCGAAGGAGCGTTGAATAACGTGCCGTCGCTCGGACCTCGATTTTCCCGTGCATATTTCGTTGTCGTGCGTATTTTGTTCTGCCCGATGATCCAGGATGCTCCTTGGTGGCCCTCGCAGAAAACAAATGCGCACGTCCGAGCGATGCTACGATGAGGAGCGAGGGGGCCCTTCTGGCCACGGGCAGGCTCGTCCAAGAAGGGGCTCCCCGACCAAACGTGTAGGGAGCGGCCCGGAAGCCCGACGCCCTCCTGAGCCCAAAGTGGTCCATTCCTCCTCCTCCTCCTCCTCCTCCTGCTGCTGCTGCTGCTCCTCGCTCTCCTCCTCCTCCTTCTCCTCCTCCTCCTCCTCTTCCTCCTCCTCCTCCTCCTCCATCTCCTCCTCCTCCTCCTCCTCCTCCTTCCTCCTCCTCCTCCTCCTCCTGCTGCTCCTCCGTTCCCCATGCCCCGGGGCCCTCGGGCCCGAGGAGGGCTCCGGAGATAGCGCACCACGGGAGCGCCCGACGCGGCCGACGCAGGCGCGGCCCCGCGCGCTTCTCAGCGTCCTCCGTCGCCTCCTGTTCCTCCTGTTCCTCCTGTTCCTCCTCCTCCTCCTCCTCCTCCTCCTCCTCCCTCCTCCTCCTCCTCCTGTGCCAGCTCGGCAGTTTCGGCCTTCTGAAGCTGGTCGTTGGCCTGCTTCGCTTCGTCGTCGTCCTCCTCTTCCTCCTCTCCTGGCTCTGCTGCCTCGGCCCCCTCCTCCTCCTCCTCCTCCTCCTCCTCCTCCTCCTCCCTCTCCTCCTCCTCCTCCTCCTCCTCCTCCTCTCCTCTCCTCCTCCTCCTCCTCCTCCTCCTCCTCCTCCTCCTCCTGCTCCTCCTCCTCCTCCGCCTCCGCCTCCTCCTCGACGGCGGCTTCCCGCGCCGCCGCGCCTTCGCTCTGCCTGCTCCTTTTTCGCCGGCCTTGTGGCCGCCCTCCTCCTCATTCTCCTCGTCCTCTGCTGCTGCTGCTGCTGCTGCAGGTCTCCGCCTCAGCCTCCGCGGCCTCCCTGGCAGCCTCTGTCTCCGCCTTCTTCGCCGCGCTCGCCCTCAGGCCGGCCGCCGGTGCCGCGAGGCCTCACCTGGATCCCGCCAGAACCAGCGAATCCTGGCGGACATAAGCACTCGCGATACGCCAAGCGACAGACGCCTGGACGGCGATGCTGACCTGCTGCCAGAGGCTGGCGGCCAAAGTCGAGGCTCGCGACTCGCCGCCGGCCATCACGGCCAGCATGCGGACCATCGCTTGCGCACTCTCGCCCGGGGGGCCGCCCAGCCAGAGCACGCGCGGGGAGATGTTGAGCCCCGCATAGCGTCGCCACTTCTTGGCCCTCTCCTCCTCCGCCGCCGCGGTTTCGCCCCGGCTGGCCGCTGCGCGGACCCGGGCCGCGTCGGCGCGGGCGCCCACCACGGCGACGTCAATGGCCACGCGCTTGCAGTCGTACGTGAAGACTACGTCCAGCACGTCTCCGGCCTCTTCGTCCGCCGCCGCCGCGTCCTCCAGAGCTGGCGCCCGCAAGCTGTCGAGCCGCTGCTCTCGAAGCGCGCGAGGGTCGATGTGGGCCGTGGCGAAGCGCCACAGATGTCGCAAATCTGATTCTGGCCTCCGACAACCTCGCCGCCGATCTTACACCCCTCTGCGTGCACGAGACCCTCCAGGCCTCCTGCTCCTCCTCCTGCTCCTCCTCCTGCTCCTCCTCCTTCTCCTCCTCCTCCGCCTCCTCCTCCTCCCTCCTCTTCGGCGGCTTGACCGATGGCCCCCGACAACGGAACCGCACGTGCCAGGGCGGGGTAGGATGTCGAGCCCCACATCGACGAGGCATGGGAACTTCGGGATCGATGCATCCTCCCCTCAGCCTTTGCCCTCCTAGCGTTGCCCGTGAAGACCCCTAGAGTCTCGACATCAACGTGCTGGTGGCTTCCTGTTCATATGAAAAGAAAATCATATGTAACCATACTCTGTCGGAATTCCGCGCGCATTTCTTGGACCTCTGGGCACGCTCCGAGGAGCGCCCCGACTCCTCATCCTCCTTGTCATTCTTCTCATCCCCTCCCCCTCATCATCATCGTCGAGATCCTTCGATCCAAGAACAAGAAGCGGCATTGAAATAAACTTTCGGAGGTCCGCGCAGATGTATTGGATCGGCGCTGGACTCGCCTGGCGGCGCCTCTGGCTCGCTCCTCGCGCCAGGGGTCGGGGGGGGGGGGATCTAGCGTCGAGTCTAAGAAATCCGCGCGGACCTCCAGAAGTTCGCGTGCAGCTGTTGTTGCAGCTGCTGCTTCTTTTTGTCCCTCGCTCGTCCTCCTCCCTCCTCGCCCTCCCCCAGTAAGGTGAGAGTCCCTAGATGCCTTTGCAGTCCTCCAGAAGCATCCCTGTTACTCATCCTTCTCCCTCTGGGAACAAGAACATTGTCATCCAAAGCGTCCATGGGGCCTCCAGAAACCTTGAGACAATCGTATAGACAATGTTCAGACATCAGCTGCCTCCCTCATGTCGAGCTTCTCTCTACAATCCCCTTCTCCTCTCTACCGCGAGGGCTTCCTAGGAGCGCACTGTGGCTTTGGTTGGCAGTATGCGTTTGCACCTTGACCGTGCACGAGCACGCGCACAAACACACACAAACACCACACACACATTCACACGCACACACACACGCACATGCGCGCGCACGCACGCACGCACGCACGCACACACATACACACACATACACATACACATACACAGACACCCAATCACACGCGCACGCGCGCACACACGCACCCACACGGACATACAAACACGCGATAGCTCGCGAGTAATGGCATATGTCTGCGAGCGCCGCCAATGAACCTGCGCGTGCCACAAACCATACTGTGCCTGACAATGACGCGTGGGGGGGAAGCGGGTCACGGGCGTTACGCGCCAGATAATCCACTACCGTGCCCGTGAGGCACGAATTGGAGTGTGTTCAGGTCCTTGGCCAAATCCCTTAAGGCACTGAGTCCTCAATCCTGGGGATGCTTTAATTTCGATGTTCGATTCGCGCTCGTTCTCGGATCAATCTCCGTTTCCATCAGGGCGCGAACGTTCAGGCCGTATCCTCTCTGTGAAACGCCAATTGACTAGGATGGGGTCGGACTGTTAACATGGAAAACGCGTGCATCGCTGGCCTTGTAGTGCATGCTGCTGTCGTGTCTTGCAGTCCCGGTTCTCCGCGCTACTGCTCCGATGAATCCCTCGTCGAGCTGCAGCCATGATGTGGTGTCGGCGGCTGTCATCATCCACCTGATGTCGTTCGGGTCGAGAGGACGTCGGAGGTTCTGTGGGATGACCGGGTGTCGGTCAGGGAGCTGGGCTCGAAGGTGTGTCGTCAGGTCGTCATCCCAACGCTTGGCTTGTCGGCATTGCGCTCTCCTTGCGTTTTGACGGTGGTTGCACGTAGGGTGCCAATGGACGACAGATTTTGTGAGTCGGGTGGTTGGCCACAATGCTTGCGAAGCGCCATGTCAGACGTCGCTGTGTAGTAGTCCAGAGCTCCACGCTGTGATGCTACATGATCTGTGTCGCACGGTGAGTTGCTCGGCGCACAAAGTCGACCCATGGCTCGAGGTCGTCGTTGTTATCGGCGATGTGTTCTTCAAGTTGCGTGTCCTCGTGGGCGTGGTCGTTGCCGGTCACAGGTGGATTGCTGTCTGCATCGTCCGTGGAAGATGTAGCATCGGAGTCGGGTGTTGGATGCGGTGTAGAAGCTGTCGCGGTGCATGAGGCGATGAGGTGGGATGATGGTCGTGGCCGTCGGCGTCTTGGTGTGCTGATGATCATGCGGACCATGCGCATCTGGGTAGTGTGTGCAGCTGCCGTAGATGAGGTTCTGTGAGCATCCACGTTGCTGAAACATAGAGTGCTTCAAGGGCCCACAACCGAACTTACCAAATTGTCCGGGGCTCCCAGCGCCTTCTCGCGTGACTTGTTCGGGTCCAAGAGGGCACCATGACGGGCCAAGAGAGCCCCAAGAGGCCCCCAAGACGGTGCAAGAGGGTCCCGAGTCGCCAACACATCGTTCCACAAAGCCCAAGATGGCCTCAAGACTGCCCAAGATGGCCCCAAGGCGCCCGAAGAGGCCTCCAAGAGGCCTCCCAGGAGGACCCCTAGATGCACAAATATTCCCATTGAGGATTTTGGCGTTCTCGCATTGTCGGCTTCCCGACGCTCCAAGACGGCTCAAGAGACCCCCCAGATCGCCCCAAGAGGCCTTCCAGAGGGCCCCCTAAACGCTCCAAGAGGGCCCCAGCACAGCACAAGAGGCGCCCAAGATGGCCAAAGAGGCCTCCAAGATGGCTCAAGAGGGGGGCCCGACGGGAGACCCGAACGGACATTCCGAGCACTCGGCCCCGAGAGGCCCCGAGGCCCCAAGAGGCCGAGAGGTCTCAGGAGGCCGAGGCCCCCAAGAAGCCCCCCAGAAGGCCAAAGAGGCGTCCAAGAGGCTCCCAAGTCCCCAAGAGCCCCCCAAGAGGCCTCCAAACGGCCCCCCAAGAAGCCCCCGAGAGCGCTCCGAAGAGAGCCCACTAAGCATCCCTGAGGACTCTAACCCACAACCCAGGCACGGTGGTGGGATGGGCCGAAGGCAGTTTGAGAAGCCAAACCCAGCTGGTGATGCCGCATCGAAAAAGGTCTCGCTGAAAAGCAACCCCACACTCGGGAACAAAAAGGGCATCCGCCAGGGAGCTGTGAGGCAGCGTGAGCTCAGGATCTCGTGGCCCGCGGGCAGCCGCTCGTGGCATGCTCGCCGATGCATACTCGCCTCGACGGGGCAAGACCGCACGAATGTCCTGTGCGCCACGATGAGCTTGTCTCTGCTGTGCCCCCGACCTTCCTCCAGCGAGCTCCTCCTCCTCCTCCTCCTCCCTCCTCCTCCTCCCCTCCCCCTCCTCCTCCTCCTCCTCCTCCTCCTCCTCCTCCCTCCTCCCTCCTCCTCCCCCTCCTCCTCCTCCTCCTCCTCCTCCTCCTCCTCCTCCTCCTCCTCCTCCTCCTCCTCCTCGTTTGTTCCCCATGGCAACCGAATGCCCACCACTTCACAAAGCACCTGCACCGTTGCATATGGTAGAAGCACTCGAGCAGCCAGCACCATCGACCAGACCAACCTGCATGGCCGTGGCACATACCGACAGCTGGCCATCCCGAACCAACGTGATAGTGCCGAGCGGTTGCACTCAGTGACCAGGCGCGTTGCAAGGTGGACGGGAAGCATACGACAAGGGGGGTCCGACATGCATACTTACGCTCTCCAATCCCTCTGTTTGTTTCTCTCTCTCTCTCTCTCTATATATCTCTGTCTCTCTCTCTCTCTTTCTGTCTCTGCCTCTCTTTCTCTCTCTGCCCGCCTCGTTCAGGACGTCGAAGTTGAATGCGTGGTCCATCCAGCGGGCGACCCTGAGACCATCCCTCCTCCTCCTCCTCCTCGTCCTCCTCATCCTCATCCTCATCGCTCTTGTCCTCTTCGTCGTGGCCACCGACGCAAGGGCAAGCCGAAACTGGAGACGGTCGTTTGGCATGCCGTGCTGCCGTTGGCCGTCCAGCGGGCGAGACTGACACTGCTACAGTCGGAGCGTTGACCCAAGGAACCCTAAATAAGGAACGAGGCCCCTTTTCTTCTATAAGTGAAACTTCGACTTCCCGTCGAAAACTTAAGGAAAATCTTTGGCAAGGTGTGGAACAATCAAGGAACACCCAGCCCCTCCCCAACGAAAAGGGTTCCTTCTTCAGGGCCCCGATTGTAACCCTCGCCCCAGCCCAATCGCCACTGCGGACATGGACCCGTCGCCAACGCTCCGGAGCCACCTCAGCTGGACCCGGGCAGTCCAGCCTTCCCCCCGCCCCCCTTCCCCCTCAACTTCCTGCCTTCCCTTCCCCGCTCCCCCCGACCTGCCCTCCCTCCCCCTCCTCCCCCTCCTCCCCCCATCCGCCTCCTCCCTCCTCCCTCCTCCCAACTCCTCCCCCCTCCGCCTCCCCCACCCCCCCCCTCCACAATTACTCAATATGAATACTACTCTCCTCCTTCCCCTGATGACAGGTTGGGAATGTTTGCCCCCCCCGCGTATTGTTTTTTTACACACAGGATTCCCGGAGTTGGGTTTTCGCTTGCATTTTTTTTTTTATCAAAATGCTGCTCTCGCTGAGGCGCCGGCCTCATTTTCGAGCCCCTCCTGCTGCAGCGCTGGCCTCATTTCCGTGCTTCCGCTCGTTCCGAATCGTGCTCCCGCTGCAGCGATGGCCTCATTTCCGCGCTTCTGCTCATTCCGAATCGTGCTCCCGCTGCAGCGCTGGCCTCATTTCCGCGCTTCCGCTCGTTCCGAATCGTGCTCCCGCTGCAGCGCTGGCGTCATTTCCCGTGCCATGCCACGGCATGCAATGCAATGCTAGGTTGCGTTCCGCTGCGCGATGCGATGCCTCCAGCTGAAGCTGTGATATGCAGTGCTTAAGTGCCACGTCGTGCTATGCCATGCTACGCTTTGATCTTCAACGCCATGCTATGCAATGTTATGTTCGGGGCCGCTGTGCGATGCCATGCTTTGCGTTGCAAAACTTTGTGATGCAATTATTCACTACGCCACGCCACGCCATGCTGTGATATACTACGCTTTGCGGTGCTCTTCTACGCCATGCCATACCGTGCTCTACAATGCATCGCGTACCCTTTCGGGATCATTGCCCTGCTCGACATCCGACTGTGCGAGTAGAGAGGGGATCTACGCCATGGTAAGGGATGGGAGGGAGGGGTAGGATGTCAGATATGACGCGAGCGCACCTAGCTTGCCCCTCCCCCCCTCCCCATCCTCCCTCCTCCTCCCTCCCCCTCCTCCCTCCCCCGGCCCCCCTCCCCCTCCTCCCTCCTCCGCCCTCTCCGCATACCGCCTCCTGCCTCACCCCCATGCCACCGCCATCTCGAGAAGGAGAAGACTGAGCTCTGATCAGTTCAAGCAGCTCCTGGAAGTCTGCTCGTCACGCGTGCGCCTGGCACCTCAAGACATCTGAACGTCGTCTTCGCGACGCTCATGGGAGTTGAACCGCCTGGTCCCCGACTGGCCTCTCGAACGGAGCTCGCGCGAGTGAGGAGACCGAGGACGAAGAGGAGGGAGGAGCAGGAGAAGGCGGGCAAGCGGGCGAGAAGGAGAAAGGATGGAGGGAATGGGACGGAAAATGAAGAGAGAAGATGCCTGTCTCGGCATATTTTAGATGATGCCCAGGTGGCTGACTCCGGAATTCAAGATCCGCCTTCCGCAAGATTCCTCTGGCGGACACGTCGTCGTTTCACGTCCGCCGAAGGCGAGAGCACGCGTCGGCGAGGCCCTCTCCGGAACGTCTCGAGTGTCCCGGACAGATCCGCAGTGTCGTCACTCAGCCTCAGCTCAAAGGGCCCAGGGACACACAAATAAATGGACACGACTCCCATGATCCCCCATCATTTCAAATACTTTCCGGATGTTCGTTCGCCTGCCCATACCTTTCCCTTATTGTCCTTGGGATCGACGATCATGTGTTTCGGTGTGTGTTTTCCCCCTCCTGATCAGCTGCATCCCCTCTGCGTGTCCACAAAGTGAACGTGCAAGAATGGAAGAGCCCCGCAGTCGAGGCGAGAGCAACAGCGGGGCGCCGGCAGAAGACTGGGAGATTCTGGACATGGATCGGGCAACAGCCAGAGAAGACCATACACGGTGACGACGTTCCAATGAGCCACCTCCACCTCGCCCTCATTAACTATCCTTCCTTCGGCTCCTCATCCGCTTGATATCCCAAATCGATTCCTCGTCCTCCCTCCTCCTCCTCCGGGTACAACTCATCGAATTCCTCCTCCTCCTCGTCCTCCTCCTCCTCATCCTGGACATTTGTTTTCTTTCTCGCCCTTCGCCGAACGATACCGCTTGTGGCACGCTAGCTGTACTGCAAGGAAGAGAAGCAGACTCCAAAGACGCAACGTCCAAAAACTGGCAAAGGTTGCGGTCCGCAACGGCGTGGTGCGACACGACATTGAGCCGGCATCAACTCGAGAATATGCGTGCGCATTTCCGGCCACCGGTCGCACTGGCAATGGAATGTCTCAAAACAAAAAAAAACCTGAATCCGGACCATCCTTACCTCCGACGTCGATAGGTTCAGTATCCTGTGAAGATAATTATGAAACCGAAATCTTATATATATATACCTATACGACCACCCTTCGGGTGATAAGGAGGTTCGGGGGGGGGGAGGAACCAACGTCTCACTCGATCGGTCTCACTATCGATCTCACTATCGATCTCAGTATCGGTCTCGCTCGATCGATCTCCCTCGATCGATCTCACAATCGATCTCACTCGATCTATCCCACAATTGATCTGACTATCGATCTCACAATCGATCTCACAATCGATATCACAATCGATATCACATTCGGTCTCACTACGTCGTCATCATCATCATCATCATGACCATCAGAATAATCATCATGATCATCGGGTCGCCATAATCATCATCAACCTCATCATCATCGGGACACAATCATAATCAGCATCATCAACATCAACATCATCATACCCATCATCATCGGGACACCATCATCGTCATCATCATGATCATCAACATAATCATCATGATCATCATCATCCTCATCATCGGGACACCATCAGCATCATCATCATCATCATCATCATCATCATCGTCATCATCATCATCATCATCATCATCGACATCATCATCATCACCATCATCATCACCATCATCATCATCGGGACACCAGCATCATCATATCATCATCATCGTCATCATCGTCCTCATCATCATCAGCATCATCATCATCAG